TATGATTCACAAGATATATATGGATTCAACACTATATATGTAAATATAAAAATTTAGGTACAAGCCATGTAAATACACAAGAATTGAGGGCTAGGAATCTAAATTTTCCTAACAAATATTTTTTTAGAATTTGTATCTTAAAAAACGCTGCTATGCAAATTGAAAAGAAAAATTCTAGTCCGATATTTGAATGCCCGTGTAGTTACTAATCATCCATACATCATAGATATTTACAACATACGGCTACAATTAAGACGGAACGCCAAGAAACCACTTGGCAGTTTTATAAGAGCAACCGCAAAATGTTTCCATGCGCGCAACGCAAGGTTGGATCCAGGACTTCGACGGCAGACCGAGGCCCAGCTCATTCAGAAATGGGGTTTAATATTTACAATTAAAAAAAAAAAATCTAGAAATGAAAGGCCATCTAAATATAACAAATAAAAAATTCGCAGTATTTTTTTAAGAATGTTGTATCTTCGCGAGGACCCGAGCGAAAGTCTCCTCCTTCCCCGCATTTCTCATTCCTCTCTATCCCTCTCTCTATCCCTCTCTCTATCTGTCCTTTATTTTTCTCCCTTGGACCGGAGATGGTTATCTCGGCCGAGAAGGGAGAGGCACGGCGGAGGAACATGGCTGGTTTGGTGGAGAAGCCTGCGACTTTGCCACCTTCTAGCAGATCGATGCCGCCATCACGCCTCCACAACTTCTCATTCCCGACCCTAAGCTGGGGAAACAGGAAGCTTCTCCGGTGCGTCAATCCATCGTGCAGTTCGATGGATGATGAGCTGCAGACTGGGAGGCGCTGCTCTTCCAATTCCTCTCTTAACGATCTCTCGCCCCTGCGGCCACCACCTCCTAGTTTTACTGTACAGAAGCATGGCCAGGAGGAGGAGGAGTGTAAAATTTCGCGGCTATCTGCTTCAAAACAGTGGAATCTGAGGAGCAAGGGAGCTGCCAGAAATGCTCCGGTGGAGATCTTATGGAATCGGAATCCATCGCCTCCTTCTCAGTCCTCATCACCCTCTTATTCTCCTACTCAGATGGAGAAAACAAGCAGTCTGGTGATTCTTGTGACGAGATTGGAAGGATTGGACATGGCAGAGAAGAGCGACAGGCGGAAATTCTCGATCGCCCTCTCTAGGGAGGAGATCGAGGAGGATTTCGTCGCGGCAAAGGGGACTAAGCCCCCTCGTCGGCCGAAAAAGAGAGCCAAGTACTTGCAGAGGCAGCTTGATGTAAGAAACTCGGGGGAAAGAAAACCTTTTCAGTTTCTAATATCTCTTTCCTAAATCTGGCGTTTCATCGAACTAATTCTTGTTTCCTTTTATTTCTGTGACTTCTCTCTCAGGTACTTTTCCCTGGGATTTTATTATCGGAAGTGTCATCAGATTTATATAAAACTGGTAAGCAAAACGAAAACTTCTTCCCAAGATCTTCGTTTTCGTATAAATTTACTTTTCTTTGTGTTACACTGCTATTCGTAGCGAGATCTGATGAAATTCCATTTTTGCAGAGGAAATTGAAGGTTGATCG